GCGTTTAAGGCATTTATTTACGTACAGATGAGCAACCAGGGCCCGCCTTCGGGCCCTTGATGGGATCCAGGGGGCAGAGCCCCGGAAGCTCAGGAAAAAATCATGCAACATTTGTAAATCACTGGTATCGAATTAGAAATAAACCACGCTTAAATTTCATTTAGGAGGAACTGCCCCCAAAGCCCCCCCCCCCCCCTCAATCAGTACGCAAGTGCGAGGGAGCAATTGTGAATGAGAGGGGTGCAGGTGAAGGAAGTGACTACCCCTCACAGGTTTTTTAAATTTTGTTGTATTAAAAAATTCAAGTCCTTAGCAAAACTACAGTGTAATAACAAGCAATTTACTTTGTTCACACTTTTGAGGGGGGGGGGGGTTGACGATCCCCCTAAAAAAATGAGGGGGGACTTGTCCCTACGTTCCCCCCCCCCCCCTCCCTCCAGGATCGCCGCCCCTGTTTGTACCTAATCAAGTCATTTCTTTATCATGTTCCATTTCCGTTATTTCTATTATACTTTTTTGAAGTTTACCTGAGTGATGTCAGATGTCTTTGTCGTCTTTTTACAAACTTTCACTCATTACAAGAAGATGCCCATCCTCAGTTATGTTACTCGGAGAGTGTTTATAATTTCGCAACGATGTCAATAATAAGTTTCAATGAAAATTTGTGTAACTTATAGAACATAATACTTTCTTTTCCTTTTCTGTTTCGATTCTTATTAGGATTTATTGTAATTTGCATTATGAAGGAGAGGTTTCTCGTTTCTTCCAACAAAGAAGAAAATCACTAAAAGAGAATCAAGACTGGATTAAGAAGAGCGATGAACGCTGGTCACTATTGCTGATGTTAATCTACACAGATCCCGCAAAGGTAATTTTTGACAGTGATTGAGAAGATAGAAGGGGTACTGGGGCGAATCCTCCGAATGGTAAAAATAAAAGAGAAGAGAAAGATGTTTTTGTGAAATGTGTTCCTCTTTTCCTACGTCAAACTGAATGCCTTCTATCTGAAAGGGATAACTGTTTATTAATGTGACATGTAAATTAAAAATTGATGATTCAACCCAACTTTTGTCGATGTAATTGGCTCTTGAAATGGATTAAATCATTGTAGGATTGGGTGGGAACGAGCACGTTTGACCCAAGACTAAACGCTTATGATGGTAAAATACATAGCTTTCTCCATCCTTCTCTTCTTCCTTACTCTTTACTGTATTATTCGTAATTATTCACAACTTTTGATACTGGTCTTTCCTTTTCAGACTGGGCAAGTTTTCGTCCTGCCCCGTTCGCAGTTGGAGGTAGCGGAAGTATACTTGGAGTTCCTTTTATATATAATTATATATGTGAATATGCTTGGGTGTGTGTTAATCTCTGAAGCTGTTGTTGTTATTTGCTTGGAGTTCATTTTATATACATATATATATTTATATAATTATGTAAGTGTGTGTGTGTGGTTTTTGACTTGCGTCAAATGAAAGAGGAGGATCTAAACTGTACAAATATGTGTCATTTATTAATTATAATTGTGATTAAGTTATGATAAAACATCGATAATTCTCAGTTTGTTTTTTTCTGGGACGCAACACTGAATGTCCCCCATTGAAACCTGTATTGTCAGCTAGAGTAAATGAAAGGTTCCACTTTGGCCCTAGGCGAACGTGAAGACAAACTCTCTCATGCAGGGCCTATTTCTCTTCTGAAATTAGATTTTATTCCCCTTCCTTTCGCAAGGTTGACTTGGGAATCACTGAAGATTGAATGATTTATTTAAGAAACGTTGCGGATCGTACATGAAGTCATAAGGTGCTGAAAGCCAATGCTGTTTAGTGACTTTTAGTTTTCCATGGTAGGACAAGAAATTGTTATTCTTGTTTCCTCAGTAAATTACCTTTAAAATAGAATCCATTTAATTGGGATACATCCATATTAAACAATTATTTTCCGATTGTTTATTCATGTTTATGTACGTGTTAAGATTTAAAAGATGTTTTGTATGAATATTCATACCTGCGTATGTTTAATTATCAATCAGCATGCTAATATGCTGCACGTGATTTAAGACTACCCAATTTTAAGCCCCTAGCACACTGGATCTGCGTAGAGTTGCGTAGTGTGGCGTACCGAGCACGCCGAAATTAGGCTGCGTATTCATGAAAAAAATAAATATTATACATAGTAAAATATACAAAATGAAATATTTATACATGTATATAGACAAAACTCAGCGGAAAGCCCAATTCAGCAGTGTTTATAGAACGCTACTGTTCTTCCTTGGGGTCAAAGGGGCTTAAGTTTATTTGTTGTACCACAACGATATGAACATGCTATTTTATACCTATACATAGTAACATAAGGTATAACTTTAGTTCAATATGTAAGATAGCGGATGCCTCGTTAATGTATCTGTTATAGAGGACAAAGGCAGTCAGTCCTTTACTTGAATTAAAAATGCCTTTGCTCTCATGTGTAAATAGAATGTATATAGTTACTTTAAGTATGAGTGCACTGTATTGTGAATCTGTTAACTCACACTCTCTTTTTCTGTCTTGGTACTCAGAGTTCATATAGTAAGACCTCGTTGATTACAATAATTACTTAGAGTTTAATACTTTCATATCACACCTCAATCAGGAATATTGAGCCAGGAATAACAAAGTTCTGTTTGTTTAAAGTGATGCTCGCATTTCCATAATTTGATTAATACCCCCTTCACATACACGGATTTTTCTTACGAGTCCTTACGGATCGCACAAATTCACGGATCTTTCACGGATCCTTACGATTTGGCCACTTTTACGACCGGTTTAAGAGTTATTACGAGCTGTTTGCGGTTTATTACGGATCATTACGAGTTATTACGATGTATTTACGGCAACAGTCCACGATTTGTTACGAGTTGTCACGGATAACTACGAGCAACTAACGTGTTAGTTACGACCTGTTTACGTGTTGTTACGAATAGTTACGAGTAAGTTACGAGTATTTACGAGTCCTTACGATTTTTAGCCAAAAAATAATAACTGAAAATGAAGTGTTCGAATTTGCAGCTTTTTTACCTTTCCCCAAATCGTAAAAAGTTCGTAAGCATACGTAAATTATACGTATGTATTCGTAAAGTATTCGTAACTGCACTTAAAATGCTCGTAATAACCCGTATCAATCCGTAAAGCCATCGTAAAATGACCCGAATAAAATCGTAAACAACACGTAAGCACAAGTAACCATCCTTAAACTGCTCGCAATAATCCGTAAATAATCCGTAAACAAATCGTAAACTAACCATAACGAATCGTTACAAAAATCTGTTACAAGTCATTTACGGATTCTTGCGAGCAGTTTACGGAGGGTAACGTGTTGTTGCGAGCGGTTTACGGATGGTTACGGATTGTTACGAGCTATTTGCGAGCTATTTACGGACAAATCAATCCGTGGACAATCGTAAGAAGATTTTTGACATGTCAAAAAATTTGCCTCTCCTTTCGCGGATCTTTAAGAGTGTCTACGAGTTGTTGCGAGTTGTGACGAGTTATTTACGGATACCAGTGAGTTATTTACGGATGCTTGCGATTGACTACGAGTTGGCGATCCGTAAGGACTCGTAAGAAAAATCCGTGTATGTGAAGGGGGTATGAACGAATTCGTTTTCACTGGCTGCCTACCGTAGCAACAAACGGAATTGACAAAAGACTTAACTCCGTTTCGTTGACGATCAGACATAGACGAAAGACTTCATGCATGGCGGCCACCTCCCTCCCCCTGAGGGGGGGGGGGGCAGTGTTCTCACTCTTCCAAGTACCCGAAATATGTCCCTTTTACTTTGACAAGTGCCTCTATTAATTTGTAAAATGCCCCTTCCAATGTTCACCTCTTTTAATTTCAATTCAATTCAATTCAAGGTTTATTAAAAACACGAGTCGCATTCCAATGGCTGAATTGGTCATGTGTACAATTATAAAGACTTATTACATATTTCAAACATAAAATACAGTTACAATTAATTTATCAATATTGATATATGTATAGTTCATATTGTAAGATTGCTTGGGCAGCAAAAATAAGAAAATAGAAGATAACATGAATTCAGAAAAGCGGAGAGGAGAAACATGAAGAATAGAAGTAAAAGAGGAATATATAAAAGTACATGTACATCAACAAATATAAATTGCATACATGTACTTTTAAGGAGTTATCATTAAGACAATATACGAATGCAAAAATAGAAATGAAAATATTCTTTTCATAACATTGTTGACGTTTGATATTGCAAGTATTTGTGTTGTTACTTAGAAAATGATATATAAAGCTACAATTATGGCATACCTTTGACAAGTGCCCCTTTTTATTCACATATCCCAAGTTATACCATCTTTTCAAATCAAAAATCCTTGGCATATTGCCCCTCCTTGGCATAAGTGCCCCTTTTCCTTCAACAAGTTCCCATTTTTCATTGCAATAAGTGTCCCTTTTCAGGAACGAGAAGTGTCCCCTTTACCTTTGATCATTTTTCCCTATTTAAATCTGACTGGTGCCTTTTTACTTTGACAAGTGCTCCTTTTCCTTGGTGAGAAGTGCCCCTCTCCCTGTTAATAACTTCCGCTTTTTTGACTCGGATGAGCGCACCTTATATTTTCACATAAAAATAATAATAATAATAGTGAACATTAATAATGCACCATGTCTGTAAAATTGTGTGTAAATTGTATAATTGTGGGCACACGACCATCAATTGATTCAAGAAAGAAAGTAAAATACACATAAGTAAAAGTTTAACATACTTCAGGACATAATTGTGCAATAATAGTGTTTCGCTGAGCGAAATTTATTTTGTGCTTTTTTAAGCAGGTTTAAAATCTTAGAAGAGATTTCTAAAGATCAGATTGTTTGTTTCATAAGATAAGAAAAAAGGTTCATTTTTGTTAAGTATAATATCAAGAAAGCTAGATATTTATTCTCTTTCAGCCTAAATGAAGCATTTAGGTATTTTATAGAAGGTGAATTGGCAATTTAAAATATTTACAATGTCTGTCGTATTTATGATCGATGTTTTTTATGGTAGGATTTGAAATGGCCTTGTCTTTGAGTATTTGTTTTTGAAGGACACCTTACTTTCGACTTCGATAATAAGCGAAGCCATTTTAGACACTTGTTCGTGTAGTCTGTCGAGCGTCAAGTCACTGGAGATGAGCTCTCCAGTTTTCCCAGTTTTCCCCGTTTTGTCCTGTTTTTACAGTGACACCAGTGAGCCCAGTGTTTCGGCAGTAAATTGCTTAGTTCCGGCCAAAGAAGTGAGTTTCTGATATATAGATAAAATGTGTAAATTATAAGTTGAATTTCATTCGTTCAACTTCAGTAATCATTGAATCGCACGTGTGAAAGTGAATATTATACGTGTGATGCTATGCCAGGGACATTACTGTATAATTTGTTGCCGTTTTGGCGAAGAGTAAAAGTGGATAAATATAAAGGGAAATAAGAGAAATGTCAAGTGAGATTCGGTCAATTTATAATGACCTGCATTGTGTTTATTTAGTCAGAGCAAGTGAAGTTTTGCTTTGAAATATTGATGTAGATTTCGGGAAAATGTAATTTACAAGCAAGTGGTTTGTACTGTGCAGGGTGTAAATGTCACCTACTTAATTATGCGCACAGCTATAGCCCAGGCAAGCTTTATACATGGGGCTTTGCATGTTTTGAGGTATCTTTGTAACATAAACAGAGAGCTATGAATTATAGGTTTGTGAAGACTAATTGAGTATAGTTCAGATAAAGGAATTTAGTCACAATTTTATTGTGAATTATTAGGAACAAGTGTTGATTTTCAGATTGGGTTGATATTTTGGAAAGATGTGATTTAAACACGTATAATGAGATAGGCTTTTGGATTTCAGCCGTAGCATTTATTTTCGTTAGGCATTTATCAAGATGTTTATGAAAGTATACATTTGTAGTCACAAATGTTTAATAGTTAGTTGCCTTTATGAATTATGCAAATACAAATGCATGTTTATGTATAGGTACCAAATCACAAGGTTCAGGTTTAGGACAGTTTGGGTATTTAATATACAAGTGGTGTAAATTTATGAGTACAAGTTCATTAAGTTGTCACGGTATTAGAGGCACTCAGAAATAAGAAAACAAAGGAAACTCTTTCGTGCAATACTTATTAATTTATTGTATTTTCTGTGCATCTGATTCTCATTACAGATTGAATTTTGATTCTGTGTTGTCTTCGACTCTTCGTTTGAGGAAGCTAATAAAGACGTCATAATCCCATTTCGAGTTTGGAACTTTTGCAATTTGTTTCATGGTCAGCGAACCATAGCGATTAATACAATACAAAGCATATTACAGTAATAAAAGTTATATAAGGGTAGTAAAATGTAAGACCAACTTATATGTTGAGAACAGAAACAATTTTAACAGAGACTTGAACTGTGAGTAGTAGTTCTCATTTCGGAGGTGAGGAGGGAGTCTGTTCCACAGTTCAGGGCCAGAACTTGAAAAAAAATCGCCTTCCCCAGGAGTGCCAGGAACGTGGGATGCAAAGACGTTGGGTGTGAGCAGATTGGAGTGGTCGTGGTGGTTCGTAGAGGTGTACTAGGTCTTGTACGTATGAGGGTGCAGTGCAGTGAAGAGCTTGATAGACGAGAAGAATGACTTTGAAGACGATGCGCTTGCGGACAGGAAGCCAGTGCAGTGCCTGGATGATGGGTGAGATGTGAATGGTACCTTTAGTGAACGTTACAAGTCTGGCTGCTGAGTTCTGGAGTTGTTAGAGGCGTTGCATCTGGTAGTCAGGATGATGTATCAGAAGAGAATTCCACAAGTCTAAGCGGGAAGAGATGAGGGAATGAACCATGGTTTCAGTAGCCTTACGTGTCAGGAATCTTCGGATGTGCGAAAGGTTGCGGAGTTGGAATCTAATGGCTTTGCATGTGTTCGAGTCGATGACAACACCAAGGTTCCGGCATTTATTTGTAGGGCTGATCTGATCATTAAAAACTGTAATGAAGCCTTCTGGGATCTTGTTGAGCATGACCATTGAGCCTGAAATCATAAAAACTCAGTTGTAACCATTTTCCTTCCTAATATACTCTTCCTTGAGCCATAATGCATGGCCGTCCAGAGGATTTGTTTATGTTGGAGACCGGGGTAAAATGCAATAAATTATTGAAAGTTTATTGCATTTTCTGTGTTTTTAATTTATGGAAACTGCCCCCTACCCTAGCCCCCGCTGCGTACAGTCATGGTTCAGTGACAAAGCAATGGCCTCGTAACTGTGAGGCCCCAGGATCAAAACCGTGTCGATGTGCTATATTAGTGCCCTTTTGTGGGGCATAAATCCTCATAACTGTCATTTATGACTTTAGGGCGTAGGTCCCCTAGTTGATAATCATACTAGCATACACTGCTTTAGCAGTCGCGCAAAACACACATTGGCAAATTATTATTTAATAAAATCTGAGAATGTATACTATTATCTAGATCTATGATTTTTATTTTTGAAATAATTCCATAAATTGGGGTAAAACAAAAATATTCCAACTATATGAACGACAGTGTAGTATATCACAAACAAATTCTGGCTACTCGAAATCCTCAATTTAAAAGTCGAAAATATCCGCCTCTCTTTGCATAGAAAATCAGTCACGGCGCTAGTCTACTATTTATGACATCACGTCCGGGAAAGAGTATATTCACGTACCCGGATGTTCCATAGAAAGCATGTGCAGAGAGATACGATTTTCTGCTTATTTTTATTCAAAGGCTGAACAGTCTAATAAATCATCATTCTATGTAAAATTCTTTACCTTCCCCTAATATTTCATAGAATAAATATCAATTCCCGTTTTTTAAATTATGACATATACATGCCAACGATGTGCTATATTAGTCATATTTTCACCATGTAATTTTTGTTTTGGTGTTGAAATCGGCCGAGGCACGGAGTGAACAGTAGCTGTCTGGTAAGTGGACCCACAGTTTGTTACCATACAGCGATCTCCCGAAAGTTTCTTCTTCCTTTTTCCCACGTCTTTCGCCTTCCTTGGCCCTGAAGATCCTTCATCTTCTTCCATGCTGTGCATTGTGCGATCTACCAATTCTGACACCGGTAGTCACTGAGAAGCAGGTTTTTGTTAGTTGTTTTTCTTAGCTAGTAACGTCGCTTTTATTCTCTTGCAATTGCCGAAAAACATATAACTAGCGCACGTACGTTCCATCACAAGCAAGCCGAGCCTAGAGCAGCGGCCTGGTCTTTCATCCGGATTCTGCTCGCTTCACGAACATTCGTGCAAGAGCCGCATCACTCGCGGATGAATATCGTTCGATCACTAATCTTAGACGTTGTCAAAATATTATAGAGGAAGCGCTTGCATGATCTCGTTCAAGTTTGATATTTTACAACATAAAATTCTTTTTTGAGGCAGTCACACACATCTATGATAAGTACTATCATAGTTCTAGGCATATTCGTTCTACAAAACTGCTCCTGTACCTTATCTGATGACAAGGTAATGCAGCCGCCTATTCATACTGCATGATTTAACTTTGTTTCCCAAGCAGTAAATTCGTCTTAAATCTCTACCAAATATGTGAATATGAGGATATAAACAGAAATCAGCGACTGGAAAATGTTGCTCCGTTATTCTTCATTCAATTGAAAACAGAAATCCATCAAATTACTCATTCACAACAACACATCTCAGCTCTGACAGGATAGCATAATACGTAGGGATATCACTGCCATTCACTCTCACTAAGCCCATGAGTCCCGTTCGTGACGTCACGGATAGAGGCCCGACTCTACATGCACTTCCGGGTTTCAGACTTAGATATTTTGGTAGAGTTTACTCGGATAAATTCACCATTCTAAACTTGTTTTTGTCAGTTGGACACCATTTAGTGTTATTCTGGGGGTTAAAACCTTTCTATTGATGTAATTGTGTCAATAATTGGGATTGTCTTAAGCAGGGCTCCCACTTAGCCGAGTTGTATTGGCGAGTTATGATGAGTTGTGGTGAGTCGCCTCAAAGAGGCAATCGCAATGCTCGCGGATAGCTCTTCTTGTAACTCGGGATAACACGCGACACCTCGGTATGGCTCCGCGTAACTTTTTACAACATTCCACGGCTAACACTAGTAATATACTCGCATTACTCGAAACAAACTTGCACTGCACTCTTCATAACTCGTAGCAACTCGAAACCTTCAAGTATACGCGAGTGCTATTCGAGTTTCCAAGAGTGGAGTACGAGCACGACGATCGTGCTGCGAATCATGCCGAGTTGCCTACGATATTAACGCGAGATTAGATCGAGTACGGGGACTTCAGGCGAGTTTCGTATGAGCATGAGCACAGTGCAGGGGAAGCATACGAGCATGACGAGCGCACCATGATACGTCAGCTGGCCTAAAAATTATTGTGCAGAGGATCAAGGCCTATTCTTCCTCCAACATATAGAGCAAATATGCTTCTGGCATCCATATTTATTTTGGAGAGCGCCAAAATCAGAGGCAACCCTCTCCGGGGGGCAGGGGAGGAGGGAGGGGGCAGGGGGCACAGTGCCCCCACTTTTGCAAGTACTCGAAATATACCTCTTTTTACGTACGAAAAGTGTCCCTTTTATTTTGACAAGTGCCCCTTTTCCTTCGACAAGTTCCCATTTTCCTTTGCAATAAGTGCCCCTTTTCACTTTTGACAAGTGTCCCCTTCACCTCCGATAATTTTCATTATTCAAATATGAGATGTGCCTCTTTTATTTTGACAAGTGCCCCATTTACCTTTGTACGAAGTGCCCCTTCCCCTGTTAATAACTACCCCCTTTTTAAGTCGGATACGCGAACGTGCCTTTTTTTGTCCCCCCCCCCCATGCACTTTGAAAGTAGCTTGGCCGCCCCTTGCCAAACTGATGCATTCCCGCCCCTTGATCGCATATGACTCTTAGAAAACTCAATCGTTAGAAGGTCGTGATAACTCGTTGGTAGATCGGTACAAGTCGTATACAGGGCATCGCAACTCATACCAAGCTCGCGTGACTCGTAATGCGCTCGGTTCACTCGTACATCCATCGTAGGAAACTCGATGTTGCGTCGTAGATCACTCATGCAAGTATCGTTAAAATAAGTAAATTCAAGCAAGTTCACGCGAGTTTAAGCGAGCTCAAGGCTCCAACTCGGCAAAGTGGGAACCCTGCTTTACATGTTACTTTCACTTTATTCAGTTTCAGAAATAAATCTAGTGTTTCCTTTTAAAAAATGATCCTAGAACTAGAAGGTTTCCAAATAAATTTGTGCTATTAATCTTCTCAGAGCAATGTTATTTTAATATTGAGCATCGGTACTTGCAGGGGAAAAAATAAATCCCATTTGGATTGGCAGTGAGGTGCTGTGAGTGGGACTTTGCGCTTTTGTTTCCGAGAACCACTCCAGCCTAATTGGTAATACAGGCCATTACAGGCAAACAGCAAGTATCGTAAATTGTATCATATATATACTTCAAGAGTAAATGCAAGAAATTTATTTGACGTGTGTGAAATTAAAAACGTATTTCTTATCTTTTTCTCATATCTTTTTTTTTAATCCAGCATATATCAATGTCTCTTTACTAGATGTAGTTTGCCTTAGATAATCTAGGCATATATTTTAAAAGGAAGAGAAGGAAGAGCTGAGAAAAATATTATGGTTTAAAATGATCATAGATTATTTGGTTGGAATTAATTGCTATTATTTTAAAAGTGCTTGATTTCAAGATAATTGTGATGCAACAGTGGCTATTGTCATTCTAATGCACTTATGAAGCATGATAAAATCCAACAGTAAGTACTTTTCACAATACTGCATATCTCTTGAACTGCATTTATGCACTAGAATGTACATTCTTTCCATATGATGTCTGGCAGAGCATGAACCCCTTTTAAAGAAAGTTTGCCTCATAAAAAGAAATTAAGATTTGCTATAGGCAATGTGAGTCATGAAAAACTAAAGAATGTTTGATATTTTATTGTTTAACCCTTTTCCAACTAGGGGGAGGGGTCAATCTGACCCCCCCCCCCCCCCCCCCGAAGTAATATTGCAAGCTTTCCTTAACTGCCCCGTAATATTATAATACCCTTTCATGCCTTTAACAACAACAAAATATTGTGCATCTTTTGGTACCAAATTTGCGGAGATCGGAGAAGACGTTTCAAGGTCTTATGAGAGACAATGATCAAAGGTCATTGTGAAAAAAAAAAAAATTCTTCATATGGTCATGCTAATTTCTTTAATTTTAAGAATTAAATTGCCCCTCTCTTTTACATGAAAATGTGCTGGGAGACTTGTCGCATAACTATATGCTTGCCTTCTTTTAGTGTGTGCCTGAAACAAAAATGTCCTGGTGAGAAAAGACCAAGAGAAGGTAAACATATTTATTTGATCTTTCTACTTTTGTCAAGTAAAAGGAAATTTTGAAATGAGTGAGGCCAAGGCCAAGTTGGAGGGGTTGCAAATAGCTGGTTAGAGAAGGATCCATTCAGGGAGTGAATATGTATGCATCAACATGCACGTGTCTACTGACAAGTTGCTGTAGTATTTATTTAAAGTGAATTTTAACTTTCAATATATCTCTTTTTAGAATTAAAATTTGAAGCTCATGCAGAAGGGAGGGAGGGGTGGTCCAATACATGAAAAAGAATGACAAGCAAAAGGAAGAACATAATTGACCATCAAATTTTGGTGAAAAGTAAACATTGAAGATGACTAAAATATTAGTTAATGCTATTTTATATGTATTTTCGTATTTACGTATTTGGTTAATATTTATCAAATTGTTCATAATTCTGTTCCAGGGATAAGGAAGGAGGGCTTCCTGTTGAGAAAAATCGGGGTGCCTCGAGGTTCGAGACTTGATTGTCTGCCCCTTACCCTAAAGCGATGGCCTCTTGTGCCTAACAATATAGGAGAAAAGCACAATGAAGTTAAGTATTTGGTTTAACCCTATCTAGCCCGGGGGGAGGGGGGGGGGGGGCTTTAGAATTGAAATCTACGCTACATTAAAAAAACAGCTAGCACTGCTTGCAGTAGTAGCAATTGGAGCCCCGGCTGAAGACCCCTCCCCCTCCCCTAACTACCACTACCATTAACGCCCTTTAAAAAGGTCAAGCCACCGCCATCCTCGGGTTTACCGTTGATTTAGAATGGCGTGATTACACTTGTAATTCATCATTACCGAACTTTGGGTTGCTGTGGCGCCATCCCCAAATTGCACCAGTTAAGTGTTAGAGGTACTATATCCCATTTCCAGGCCAACAAAATGAAAAAGTTTAATTCCAACGGCATTTGAAAGATAATATTAATTTAGAACTTCCCTTAAGAAAGAGGGCTTGAAAATGTCTTTAAGTGGGATAATAACGACTATTAGTTGCGAATCAACATATGAGCTATAGAACCAGTAAGTAATAGTCTGATTTTCAGACCACTGTAACGAATGGTCGAACGTTTTATGGTGTGCAAAGATTCAATCAGTTTAATTTAGGCCATTACAAGAAGTGGGTTATTGATCCGATGTAGACAAATGCTCATGTACCCTTTACAGCTCATTTTATGTACATGTAGCCAGTCAGTCACTCAATAGTGTCTGACAATGAAGTCTAACAACGGGTTTCCGTCATAATTTGAATATTAGGGCACTGCTAATGTTTAAATTTTACAGATAGGACATACATCATATATTCATAATTCGTGCAAAGTTCTACAAAATTTGATGTTGGCTGCAAAAGGGACATAGACCTTTAACTATTGTCATCATTTCAGGATGGTTTTGGTTACAGGTTAGTTTGAGATTTCAGTGGGTAAAATTTGAGGGTGCTTTGTGCGGAGATCAGTGGATGGATATTTCCATGTACAATGCAAGAGAGGTGTCTATCTTCATTGGAATTGGCTGGTTTAGTGGTTTATAAGGAAAAGAAGCCAGATTGATGTTTGAATGGCATGAACAGTGGAATACGCAGGATTTTTTCATGGGGGTGTTTGAAAATTGAAAATCGCGCCGACCGATATTTTGCTCAGTGGGGGGGGGGGGGGGGGGGGGGGAGGGGTTAAGGAGCCTTCTGTTTTTGTTTTTTTGCAAAAAGGAAATAAATGAGGGAAAGGAAGAGCAATGACAAAAGAGAGAGAGGAAGATAGAAAGAGAGGGGGCTAGCCTATTCTCTTTAATTTATTAGACCCGGTGCTGATGATAATTTATCTACCATGTGTACGCCACACGTACCGATTAGCATCTCATTTTTGTAAGAACTTATTGGCACGCACCCAGTAGATTTGTATCATGTGTTTGATCTAACAATAATCAAAGAGCATCGTGGAGACGATGAGAAAATAAGAATAATAATAATACAACGTCGTTAAGCGTGAGACCGTTCACTGTATCTCTCCCAGCCAGATAATCCGAACAAAAGAATCAACCGAGGGGAATCAACTGTTAAACGAATTTCCGGAGGCAAAAAAAAAATAGGGCCTATTTCTCCCTAGGAAAATAAGAGGAAAGAAGAGAAGAGAAAGAGAAAGAGAAAAGTAATAGTAGACTGACATTAAAAAAAAATAGAGAAGGGAGAGCCGGAGAAGGAAGAATGAACAAAATAGATTAAGCTGGAGAAAGACCAGGGTCAGAGAGATAGAGAGAGAGAGAAGGGGGAGAAAATGCGTGCAAGGAGCTACATTGACACTAAAACGAATGCATGGATTGTCTGATGACAATCCATGCATGCTTACTTTATTTGATTTCATCACGTTTTCAGAAGATATGCTACAACATCGTGGGGATAGGGGGGGTGGTAATTTTTTTTTGTAGCAAGATGAGAGATTATTATTTCAAATATGCCTACAGCTTCAAATATATATCAGTTGAAAACTGATAAGTTGCCGATTAATCTTGCCACTATGATGCAACATAAACAATCTGTTCATAATTATGATACTAGATATCCGGACAATTATTTTATTGACAAATGTCCATCAACAAGTTATTTATTTATTTTTAGACACACTGGCACAAAAATATTGAAATCTCTACCCAGAGATATCCGTGATTTTACTTACTCTTTAAATCAGAAATTAAAACGTATTTTGTCTGTTTTTAAATCAATAGTAATATGCATGTTACTAGGATTACTATGCTACTGGTTTATCATTTATGTACCCTCCTTTGTCATTGTTATATAGGCAACTATCACGCAAAATAATGGTAAGATATAATAAAGTGCACACTTTAAGTCGATTTTTAAGTGTAGGACACATGCGTCAGACCATATCGCCGAAGACGGACGCTTTCCGCCAACCAATTTTCGGCATTCTGTGTCTTAGGACACAGAATGCCACCACCCTGTCACTCTTGCCCGTGACCTTTCTTAAAAAAACTTTAAGCTAATCGCGTTGCCACAAATTTGACCAACACGCTTTCCGTAGACGCCTGACAATCTCTACAAGATCATGCTAATGAATTAATCATAATCCCAATGACAAACTCTGGTAAAATACAAAATTCTTCATATAATCAATCTATGTATACCAATAAGGCCCTCCCCCCCCCCCCCCCCCCCCAACACAAAAAACAAAAAACAAAAATTGTCAAAACGCCGTTCATTCAAATATCAGGTTAGAGCTGGTGCTGTATTTTAAAACCAAAAATACTTTCTGTGTTGGTCTTGATATTCATTGAAACTAGTCTTTTACCATATTAAAGTGTTTTATTAGCTTCGTTTGTTTAAATGCTTGACATCCCAATGATTAAATTTTTTTTTAATGAAAACAAAAAAATAACAAATTCAAATTATTTTTAAAAATGGGGACAAAAATACAAAAATGAAATAAAGACCAAAACAGAATTAAATTTAAAAAAAAACAAAATCAAAAACAAAATCAGTCTGCCCGCCCGCCGCCCTACTCCAGAAAAGCAAATTTCATGGATGGACGGGTACGACGATACAATAATCACCCAACGATATTACCGCGGGAACCAACAACAAAGAGATTCGACCATACACGGAACCTTGCAACAAGATCTAAATCCACATACAGTGTGTATCATCATCTTCTTCTTCTTCAAGATAATCTGCCTCCTTAATTGAATACTGAAGATTCTTGCAGGTGCCTGATTGGGGTGCGCAGGTGTCATCATTACGCTACCAAGTAATTAATTGAGTTTAGACGATATACAGGGGAAGTTTGATGGCTCTGTCGAAAGGTAACATATTTGGTACGTATATCTGTACATAAACTTCGTTGCTTTTATCTTGTAAATAATGATTGCTATTGTGTGTGCATGACAAAACTCTCACTAGAATTATTTGACCATGCCCCACACGTATAATTTTGTGTAGGGTTTTGACATGCACTCGTACAAGAAAACTTCGCCCAATGTTATTATTTCTTAATTAATTTGTGTGATCCATAAATCAGACGTAAGAAAGTATGGAACAACTGCAGAAAACACCGCACATTTCAGCCGCTATTCAAAGTCTAGCTAGCTACACCTGTAGCTTGGCTGATATGTTTGACATCATTACATTAATATAGATCTAGGGAGGCCAGTAGTTGTACCATACCACCAGGCGCGGATCCAGGGGGGGCGAGCGGGCTTCCCCCCCCCCCCCCCGCAAAAAAAAAGGAAAAAGGAGAGACAGAGAATGAAAAGAAGGGAAAGGGAAAGAGGAGAGAAAGGGAAAAAACAAAGGAGAGAAAGAGGAAAAGAAAAGAGGGAAGAAGGAGATCAGGGGGGCAAAAGGACTTGCCTCCCAGGCTGTTGCCCCCCCCCCCTTCCCCCCAATTAAAAAATAAAAGAGAAGGAAGGAAAGGGAAAGAAAAAGAAAAAGAGGAGATAAAGGGAAGGACAAAAGAGGAAGAAGAAAAGAAAAGTTGCAATTTTCCCGCCAACAAGTTGTGGATCGGGGGAGGGCAAAAGGCCCTAGCCCCCCCCCCCCCCTCCCCCCGTTCCCGCTAAAAAAAAAAGAGAGAAGGAAGAAAAAGGAAAAGAGGAGAGCTAAAGGGAACACAAAATAGGAAGAAAAAAAGAAAAGGGAGAAGAGAAGCGGAGATCAGTTGCGGTTAATCCCGCCAACAATGTGTGAAGCGGGGTGGGGACCAAAATGACCTTGCCCCTCCCCCCAGCAAACCTAAAAGATAGATAACGAAGGGAAGGGAAAGGGATAGAGGAGAGAAAGGAAAAGAAAAAAAAAGAGAATGAAGAAAGGTAAGGGATATCAGTTTTCCCGCCGACAAGGTGTAGATCGGAGGAGGGGGGGGGGGTGCTTTGGAGAAATAGAATTCAAACGTGGTTTATTTATAATTCCACAACGGTGGTTTACAAATAATGCTGAAATTAGCTAATTTTCCGAGATTTTTCCTCACTTTATGCGTTTGTTGGTAAAATGACAAATTCCTAAATTTACAGCCAGGGAAGAAAATGCTTCTTGAGATGCTTACATATCAGGGCCCGCGGAACGGTGGGGATCGGGATCCTAGACCCCCCCCCCCCCCCACACACACACTTTCTTTGAAAAAGTATATTAAAGAGAAACAGAAAGAAATAGAGCGGAAAGAAAAAATAGTTAACTGCCAGTGTCACATTATAATGGGGTATCAAAAATATGCTCATCTGACCATGATTAAATGCCAAAAATCCCAAGGGCTCTGCCACCTGAATTCCACCAAGGGCCCTATGGCGGGCCCTTAGATGCTCATCGGTCATTTAATGCCTAAAATCCCTGATTTCTGGGGGCTCCGCCCCCTGAACTCCATGCCAATTAGTGACCTGCCACTGTAACAATTACGTATCAAAATAATGCTCATCTGACCGTAATTAAATGCCTAAAACTCCTGAACTTCCGGGGCTCCGCCCCCTGAACCCCAAGCCAATTAGTGACCTGCCACTATAACAATTAGGTATCAAAATAATGCTCATCTGACCGTAATTAAATGCCTAAAACTCCTGAACTTCCGGGGGTCTGCCCCCGGATGTTCAGGAGAGGGGGAAACTGAAAATAGACGAGGATTAAAAGTCATAACGGTACAACGAATCGTCTTCTTTCTCTTTTGATTTAATGAAACGTCGAAGCTTCCGCGCTGCGCACGGGAGGAGGAAACTAAATTTAAACAAGGATTAAGAGTCGAGAAGGGTACAACGAATCGTCTTCTTTCTCTAATGATTAAATGAAACGTAAAAGCTTGGGGAAAAACTGAATTTAAACGAAGATTAAGAGTCGTTAACTACTCAACGAATCGTCTTCTTTCTCTAATAATTTGATGAAACGTCTAAGCTTCCGCGCTTCGCGCGGGAGGGGGGGAACTGAATTTAAACAAGGATTAAGAGTCGAGAAGGGTACACCGAATCGTTTCTTTCTCTAATGATTTAATGAAACGTAAAAGCTTCCGCGCTTCGCGCTCGAGGGGGGAAACTGAAATTAGACGAGGATAAAAAGTCATAACGGTACAACGAATCGTCTTCTTTCTCTTTTGATTTAATGAAACGTAAAAGGTTCCGCGCTTCGCGCGGTGAGGGGGGGGGAACTGAATTTAGACGAGGATTAAAAGTCCTAACGGTTCAACGAATCGTCTTCTTTCGCTAATGATTTAATGAAACGTCAAGCTTCCGTGTGTTTTGCGCGGGAGAAGGAAACTGAATTTAGACAAGGATTAAGAGTCGAGAACGGTACAATTAATCGTCTTTTTTCTCTAATATTTTAATGAAAGTCGGGGTCGGGGGGGGGGGGGAATGAATTTAAACGAAGATTAAGAGTCGATAACGACTCAACGAATCGTCTTCTTTTTCTAATGATTAAAGGAAACGTAAAAGCTTCCGCGCGAACCGCGGTAGGGGGTGGGGAGGGGGAAACTGAATTTAGACAAGGATTAAGAGTCGAGAACGGTACAACGAATTGTCTTCTTTCTTTAATGATTTAATGAAACGTAAAAGCTTTCGCGCTTCTCGCGGGATGGGGGGGGGGAAACATAATTCAGACGAGGAATATTTTTGGGAATGGTACAACGAATCGTCTTGTTTCTCTAATAATTTATTGAAATGTTAAAGCTTCCGTGCTTCGCGGAGGAGGGAGGGGTAAAACTCACCCCTCCCTGCACCCACCCACCCCTAATTACGTCAATGCTGGTCACCATTACGAACCAATATTTGGCTCGCATAATTTCAAATTTGGGCCTCCCCCCCCCCCTAAGAAATCCTGGATCCGTGCGTGCATACCACTCACTCCAGCAAAGCATAGAGAGTCATTGCCGAAAGCTTCAGTCTCTGATATCGACGGTTGTACCGCTGAGATTGCATCTGGTTCCTCTCACCGCCTCTATACATAGACTGAAGTACGTCCTATGCGACTGAGTGGAACAAATGGGTCGGTTCGGCTTGACCGTTGCATCACTGCACATAGGAGAAGAATATACATACCGGTAGTTTTTGTTTATCTGCTTTATAAATCAGAAAATTAGATCTAAATAAAGAAAATCGGGGGAGAAAATTTCAGAGCCAAAAAAGGTCCCGATTCAGCTCATTCTATCCCCCCGGTGCGAGTCGTCTGGGATACCATCTGTGTATGGGGAATGTCAACAAAATGTGAGCACATTTTTTTTTTGGCCCTAAAAATTTGCACCCCCCCCCCCCAAAAAAAGGGTAAAAATCACTTGTATTTACACATTTTTTTCCAGGGGGGCCCGCCCCCCCCCCCCCCCCGGCCCGGCCCCCCTGGATCCGCCACTGCCCCTGGACCCTCACCAAGGGCACTAGGGCTGGCCCCTGGATGCTCACATGACCGTAAATAAATATCTAAAAGCCCTGAGCTTCCGGGGGCTCATTACGCCACTGCCCCTGTAACGTTTGCTCCTCTCCCCCCCCCCCCCCCAATCCCAAACTGCTACCGGCGCGCCTGATCTAGTGTCTCCTTATTAGTGTGTGTATGACATGAACTTAGCAGTGGCCTGTGGATACAGTTGATGCAGTGATAGCAGTAGATGTTGCTACTTGCTAGATCAAATCCCCCTGGTTAAAAGATTTTGTCTAAATTCCCTTTCATTCCATTAATATTATAAAGTTGATCTCAATACTGGGAGAGTTGCAGTAGAATGATATAAGTTCTACAAGTGAGGAGTGAAATATGTAAAGGCACAGTATTCCTTTCCCTTTTAGATGATCTATTTCTCCATCATTATAGAATCACCAATCTGCCACGGTAACCCGACACATGTTCCGCCGACGATTGCTCCGCCGACATTTACTCCGCAAAACGCGACAATTGCTCCGCGACATTTGCTCCGCGACATTTGCTCCGCCGACAATTGCTCCGCCGACATTTGCTCCGCCGACATATGCTCCGCCGACATTTGCTCCGCCGACGTTTGCTCCGCCGACAATTGCTCCGCCGTCAATTGCTCCGCCGACATATTTTGCTCCGCCGACAATTGCTCCGCAAAACGCGACAATTGCTCCGGTGACAAATGCTCCTCGAACGACAGTTGCTCCGCCGACATTTGCTCCGCCGACAATTGCTCCACCGACATTTGCTCCGCCGACAATTGCTCCGCCGACAATTGCTCCGCAAAACGCGATAATTGCTCCGGTGACATTTGCTCCGGTGACATTTGCTCTGCCAACAGTTGCTCCGCCGACATTTGCTCCGCCTGAAGCGACACTTGCTCCGGTGACAATGTTGATGATAATAATAATAACTAGATTTGTAATACTTGTCTTGAACAAGTATAGGTGGACTGGTCTAACTAAAATTTGAGACAAAATGAAGGGCACATTTAAGATAGCTTATTGTCTCAGCTACAACATACTCGAAGTTCAGCGTAAACGAAGCTAAAACGACGGAGATATTGCTCGCGAAAGACGGGAATGTAGAATCCAGTTTTGAAAAAAGTCATGTCCCATAGAGAATACACGCAAAAAGAGAAAAATTGACATGCCACCTTTAATCGCTAAAAAACGTCATGATTCCTTTGTCGAAATGAAAAATCATGTGAAATGCATTTGTAGTGAATTAACTCAGCTAAAACAAATCGAAAGTTGGAAGAAAATCAATCAATATTTACAGAGATACAATCAATTTTCCAAAAATATGCTGATGTCATAATATGCAAATTGGAATTTTGAGTTCGGAGGCCATTATGATGACGTCATGAGTTAATTGAGGGTCAAATGAGACAAGAAATCATATTTCCAATTCATACTCTACAAAATATGAAACAAAATTT